AATTTACTTTAACCATATTAATTGCTAGCTATAACTAACCATATTATTTGTAACTATAAATTTTCATCTTTTACTAGCATAATCATGTTGCATTATATGCTATCAAGTTAATTACGAATGGCATTACACTTTTGCTGTCTTATTAACGAAATTGTTAAAGTGCTTTATTAGCCTAACACATAATAGCCTAATATCTATTTTAGTCCTTTATTTTAGTCCAGAAAGCTGCACGGCATGTAAAACATTGCTTATGCAAAACGGCCTATCTTTTTGATGAAAGAGACGAAAAACATTATTATAAGGTTCATTGCAGAAACAAAATGTGCACGTCTGTAAGAAAAATAAAACATGTAATGAATCAAATATTCTCTTGTCTGTAGCAACCACTTCACTTTAACCCTGCAATTAAAACTACGTCACATACTGCATCAAACTGCACATCAAAGACGAACAGAGACACACGAGATGAGCTTATTCCCGGGAAAAGAAGACAGCCAATTATGATATCATAGCGTTTGATTGGGATATTCACTCAAGAGACTTCAGTGCATGTGGTGTGAAATACAAGGGTAATCTCATGTCATCTCTGGAGTACATGAAAAGGGATTGTTTCGCGTCTGGGACCTTATCATCGGCCTCTCTGAAAGGCACTTTAACTAAAATCAACAGCCGGAGACATAAAGCCCGAAAGAAGATCTCACCCCAAAAGAAAGAGCAACCAGAAGCAGAATGTGACGTTTGCAGGTAACAAACAACTACTGTATTTATTTATTTATAAAAAAATATATATATGCTATCTGTAGTAACAAGTAGCCATTTATCTAAATGATTGAAATGTGTTTAATGTTAATATTTGTTATCAATTACTTTAATATTGGTGTTACAATCTGTTGTTTTATTTTAGCCTATATAAAATGAATACTCTCTGAATTTAAAGCGACCAAGGGAGATATTAATAGTAGGACCCGTTAACATGCGCTTTAACCAGAGCTTGGTAGATTACTTATGAATTGTAGTCCATTACTGATTACAGATTACATGATGAAAAAGTAACGTTATCTAGGTTGTTTATTTTAGGTATTGTATTCTGACTACTTTTTAGATTACTTTTTTTATCAGACGTTAATATTTGTTATGAATTACTTTAATATTGGTGTTACAATCTGTTGTTTTATTTTAGCCTATATAAAATGAATACTCTCTGAATTTAAAGCGACCAAGCGAGATATTAATAGTAGGACCCGTTAACATGCGCTTTAACCAGAGCTTGGTAGATTACTTATGAATTGTAGTCCATTACTGATTACAGATTACATGATGAAAAAGTAACGTTATCTAGGTTGTTTATTTTAGGTATTGTATTCTGACTACTTTTTAGATTACTTTTTTTATCAGACCTGTTTTAAACTTACTATTAAACATACAGTATTGATAAAAAAAAAAAGGCAAAGAGAAAGAAAATATGTAAAAAAAAA